ACTACACATGAGAGAAATGAAAGAGTAAGGCAAAAACAATATTTTTATAAAACTAAAATTGGTATATATATATATATGTTAAGAAAAACAACCACACTCTAAGGCAAAATAAACAGGCTTACAGTTCTTCGTTGTTCGGGAGTTGCATATACAAGTGCTTCTTTCAAACCAGGTAGTAAAGAACGAGATTGGGAAGAATCATCAAGTGAAAGATGAAGAGAAATTTTGTTCAATCTATGAAAAGGAGCCATGGTTTAAGCAATGAGGGCGGCATAAGATTTAGGAGAAGAAATGTGATTAGGGTTTTCGGTGAAGGGTTAATTTGTTATATAACAAAAAAAATAACTTCTTTAGGTGAACAGTAATTAATTTTTCCGTAGTTAGTCAACATATTTTTAGGAAATATATTGCGTATGAAACACGCGCCTGACATTCTTTGCTAAAATTAAATACTATATGTGTTACATATATAACTCGTTTGATGTAAATAGCAAACGTTTTGTTTCTATTTTTTTTTTCGACACAAATAGCAGAAATTATTGGTTGTTGAAAAATTAAGTGTTATAACTAGCGCGTGTTTTGAAAGTGTGATTCATTAGATGTGAAGAATTGATCAATGTTGGAGTATATAGATACGTATGTTATATAGATGATCTTTACAAAATTATTAGATTATAGTTCGCACAATATATGAGTTTTTGGTCTAGTTAGCATTTTTTTCTTTTAAACGGTCTAGTTAGCATTTTTATACGAGTATTTGTAACAATCATGAGATTTTACAATTTACAAAATAAAATACTTGAAAGTGTTGAATACACACACTAGCAAAACGTTGGAAAAAAATGTATTTTCTTTTTTTAAAATCCAATGTAGCCTTTATTCAATCAGAGGTTAACATCTGTCCATCCTTATCATTTTGTGAGAACTTTTAAGGAATGAAATCTCTTGGTCAGAGACATATCCGACCTCTCACGCATCGATATGCGATTGTATTGCACGCGCTAAAGAGATTTGATTCCATTTTCGTTTCTTTATTTTCTTTGATAGGTATTTATTCGTTGGGCTACATACACCAACCAAAATAASAGTTTAGTYTTATGGAAGAAGAYATGTCCAAGACTTTGAGTGAATAAGCTTATTACAAATATTTTATGCATCATAAACACATCGAATGTTGCCATTATTGGTTCTACGCTTTTGGGGGAGTCTATTCAATTTGAATTCCTATGCACTTAAATTTACAGTCAATTACAAGTGTAGACATGCAGATAATCAGGTGAGAGACACAAGTGTTTACAACAAGGCCACTTACGGTTAGGACTCTGTTTACCAAAATCACAGACCATACTCGTTCAGGGGACCTGAAAATTCATCGTTTTAACCATAAACAATAAGTGTCGACTAAAAAAAACTATAAATAACAAGTAAACGACTCTAAATACAAAACAAAAGAACTCTACCAGAATTTAAGTTGAGACAAATTGCACAAAGTTAATTACGATGCTAAAAACAATTAAGTTAGATTAGATTTTTAATCGCAAAGTTACACAAAAGAATATTGTTGAGTTAGTGTAGTGGTTGAGTCTCTTTTCCCTTCTCTAGTAATCACAGTTCGAAACTAGGCCTTGGCACAATAGGACATCATTTTTAGCAAGCCCTTGTTC